AAGCCAGCTCAAATGCCACCTCCTCCTGGGGCCTTCCCTGATTGCTTGCGGTTTGGGGAGCTTTCTCCTCTTCAGCTCTGTTGCCTTTCCTTCCAGTGCTCCTGGCCTACCTGCTGTGTATTTGAGGCTCTGGGTGGTGTGTGATGTCCTTGCTAAGGAGGTTCCATCAGAGTTTGGTGGCTTTGTTCATCCCTGTGTGGCCCACAGGGCTTTGCTCCCCTAATGGATGGAGTTCACTCTGTTTGACTGAGGCCACACCTGCTTCCTTTACCCCTGCATGCCCGAGGCCTGGCACTGTAACTGGCACACAGTATAACTGGAGTGTGGACAAGCAGACCACAGGGTTCTTCCCTGTTCATTGTGATCTGACTGCCCACGTGCCTCCATATGGGTCTCTGTGATTCTCAACTCCTGATATTTATACACTTGTGCAGTCCCCGCCCACACTGAACAGGGCTGTTGTAACTGTTAGGATATTGCAGAAATGACCGATCATGTGTGACTCCTGAGGTTAGGTCTTATAGCATTGCAGCTTCCGCCCAACTCTGAGACGGCTTCCTCTGGGGGAAGCCAGCCACCATGCGGGCAGCAGCCTTCGCAGAGGAACCAAAGCCTCCCACCAACAGCCAAAGCTGACTTGCCAGCTCTGTGAGTGGGCCACCTTGAAAGTAGAGCCTCCAGCCCCAGTCAAGCCCTCCAATGAGAGCAGTTTGAAAATAACCTCTTGAGAGACCGTATAGCCTGCCTCCCCAAGCCAGAAGCACCCAGCTAAGCCTCTCCCAAGTTCCTGGCCCATAGAAAACATGAGATATAATCAACATTTATTGTTGTTCGGGATAATTTGTTACAGAGTGATGGATAACTGATACAGACCTGGGCTCCTACCACATTCCTCGGGCCCAGCAGGATTTAAGCAGGAGCTGCCCCCAAGTTGCGAGGGACAACTTGCCAGGTGCAGATGACACATAAGGGCCTGACCCTCACTGCCTGGATGAAGGTGAGGAGGCACAAGTGTCCCAGACCCCAAGCTAGGAACTTTCTGTGCCTAGGAGGCAGACCTGACTGTTTTCAATTTTGTTTGTCACTCTTGGATAATGTGAATGGTGCTCTCCAAAGGCAGAGAGGCCTCCGTGGTGATTCATGATATTCAGAAAGGAGGGTTGAGAAACTGCTGGGGAACCAGGTCAGACTCTTGTTCTGTTTTTTTGTTTTGTTTTGTTTTGTTTTTTATTGCAGCATCAAACCCCAAAACTCACAGTTTCCCTGAATTCAGGCACACCCAAGTATGACTGGGACATCCTCTCTGCCAAACCCCAGAAGCTCAGCTCAGGCCAATAACAGTACCTGGGCACCTATACCACATGTAGGTACGAGGCTAGCACAGCTCTACTCAGAACCCGGCTACCTCTCACCTCCTCCACTGCTGCCACTGTCATCACTTGCATAGACTGGTGCAGCAGCCTCCTCATTGGTCTCCCTGCTTGTGTCCTTACCGCACTACAGTCTATTCTCCAAATGATGCTCAAAGTCGTCTTCAAAAACTTACCTAAACAGTGGAACAAGCTGGTGTCACTCTCTGACCAGTCAGATCACTCACAGTGGGAACACCCGACATTAGGGGCCTCCTGGTGGGATGTACTAGGTACCCACTTGTGAGTCTTCACTCGCTCGACATATTCAAGGTGTTTCAGTTCATATGAAATCAGGGGAGAGAAGAACAGGTTAAGTGACACCACGAGGAAACAAGCAGACTCCACCACTGTCCTGGACTCTTCACGAGAGTCAATGTCTTATTTACTATTGCCAGACACACCCAGACGTCCCTCTACAGGACACCAGGAAAGCGTCCCATCCAGAGCTGATACACCCAGCAACACGGTGAATCTCCTAGACATCATGCTGAGAGAGAGAAGCCTGACACACGAGAACATGCTGTGGATTCCATTTAAATAAAGCTCTAGGACAGCCCAAACCAGTCTGCGGTGATAGGACTTAGAACTGTGAGCGCCTCAAGCGTGGGTAGCGGTTGCCTGGAAGGACCTCAAAGGGAACCTTCTGGAAGGATGGAAACATCTTGTACCTTGATCTGGGCAGTGAATATCTGTATAAGTACAAATTCACCAGCTGAAGACTTAAGATTTGTTCACTATAGGGGTGACATACTTAGTAAAGTAATCAAAGTAATCCACTTTTTAAAAAGTCACTGTCAGGAAATAGGTAGGAGACTGTTCTAGTTTATAAGAATTTGACATAGCAGTCAAGTACAACATGTAAACCATCATGAGACCCTAGTTCCAGGAAAGGAAAGGAATAAAAAAAGGAAAGAAGGAAGGAGGGAAGGGAGGGAGAGAGTAAACATTTGGGGGACAATTTGAATATGAATTGAGTACTAGGGAATTATTTTCGTTTTCTCTGGTAATAATGTTCATGTGCTTATGTAGAGGAACGTCCCTGCTCTTAGGAGGCACGTGATCAAGTGTTTAGGAATTAGGAGTCATGAAGCCTTCAAGGGATCTTCACATGCTAAGCCAAAAAAACCCCAAAAACACACATATATGAAAATAAGGCAAATATGCTTAAATAGTAACAGTGGTTGAACCTAGGTGAAATATATATGAGTGTTTATTTTAAATTCTTTCAATTTTTTTTTATATCTTAGGACATCTTTATAATAAAATGTTGGGGGTACGGTGCATAAAATCTAAAATTAAGTTTTGGCTGTGGCCCCTGTGTTCCTACAACATCCAGCCCCTGCCATCTCTGATCTCATCCCCCCTCATGCACTCCCTTTCTCTTCCTACTCCAGACACATACACAGCTTCCTCACTGGTCCCAGAATACACCAAGCTCCTTCCTGCCTGAGGCCTTTGCACTGGCTGTCCCCTCTGCCCGCACTACCTTCTCCTAGATTACCACATGGCTCGCTGGTTCTTGTGACTCAGGTCTCAGCTGTGATCCCAAGGGGACTCAGTAGCTCCGGGCTCTCCCAGGTGACGCCAGCACTTTCTGACTTTCCACAACACCGTGCTCAGTATTCAATGGCACCTTTCCCTCATAGACACTGATGGTGGCTGCAGTGCCAGATATCAAGTGCCCAGAGCTGGGAGAAATGGGGGAAATGGCTGCCTCCCCTAAATGACATGGTGTCCCCCTCTTTTCTCCAGGAGGGAAACCTTTCCCACAAGCCCCAGCACACTTTCTCTCATGTTTCATTGGCCAGAACCCAGTCACATGCCCATCCTAGACCTGTCACTGAACGTGGGGAATGGGATGGCTAGGCCTGCCTAGACCCATCAAGATTGTCCCCTGGGGCGGGGTGTGTCTCTCCCTCCCCCTAAATCAGAGTTCTCTTGGCCCGGAGAAAGGAAGGTGACTACTCAGGAGACAAAGCCAGGTGGTGGTCCTCACATGTTTCTGGAACTTGGAGATAGTAAGGCTCATTTGCTACCTGTGCCTTCTCTCAATCCTTCTAGCAGTCCTAGGAACAGCTGGTGGTCTCTAATCTCATTTTGCAGATGGGCACATGGAAGATAAAAGAGGCAGAATGACTTAGTGCTGGCGGGTCAAACCCCAAATTCTCTGCAAGGGCAAGACGGGCAAAATAGCATGGAGGTCCAGAAGGGGAGAGATTCCATCAGACTGGGAAATACAGCAAGGCTTCAAGAAGGAGTAGCACTCGGTGGTGCCTGGAGAGTGAGGGGGGTTTCAGTAGAGGTTAGATATAGTATCAGGAGGAGGGAACAGAGTGAGCGACGACAAGGAGGGCAGAGGGCACATCTGGACGATGAGAACGAAGGAGGGGAGCTGGAAAGGAGGCTATGGCCAGATTTCAAAGATACCTGGAGTCCAAAGGAGGGCCTTTTCTTTGTTCTTCAGGCAATGGGGAGCCACTGAAGGTTCTGGGGAGCAGAAGATTTGTGGACTGAGCTGAGAGAGGACTGGAGGGGCCGGATGGAGGCCGGGAGACCATGGAAGAAGCTGGTGCAGAGCTGTGGAGATGGAGAGGGGATTCAGTGGTGGCTCACAGGGCCAGGAGCATGTGTGGCATTTCTTTGGGGAGAAAATGTCTACTTCCTGGGCGACTGGGCCGCATCTGTGAAATGGCTTAATGGCAACACCACCATCTCATAGGGCTCATAAGGGGGCCTTCCCCTTCCCATGCCTTTTCAGACACTGTTGTTTACTGCCATGTCTGAACACTTCCTCTGCAGTGGCCTTGTGCCGAGAACTATACTTACTTCATGTTGCACTGAATTCCCGCAGCCACCTGTGAGGGCTGCATGATTTGAAGGGCCTTGTCCAGGGCACACAGATAGGAAAGGGTCCAGCAACAGTGTCCTAGAAATCGGGGGCCTTTGCACTAGCTGCCGTGTGGCTCTCCTGGCCTGCAGCCCCACTGAGTTAGGCTGGCCCAACCATTAGGGCTTCTGGGACCTCAGACACCCCCATCTCACCTCCTGCCCACTTCTGGGCCACCTCTAAAATCCTGCATCCCTGCCTCTGTCTCAGCATTGCCTCATCTTCCAGAGCCCCACTTACCTCCTGACAGTGCCACCCCTTTGCGCTGAGCAGAGGGATCTGAGCTCCTGGAGGTAAAAAAAAAAAAAAAAGACCCAATGGTAGCTGCCTCCTGTCAACCCCAGGACACAGCTGAGATGCAATTTTGTTCTCAAGGACATCTCATACTTGGAAGAAGCACTTAAAGTCCTCCTGATGGGAACCAGGGAGGTCTGTGGTGAGCTGAGGCTTTCCTTTAACTGCTGATTGATGCGATTCTGTGAATCATTGAAATGGGCACAGGGTGGCAGCTTTACCCAGCAGAGCAGACAGTTGGCAACAACAACCTCAGGTATGCCAATTTTCAAAAGCCTCCCAGCTGACGTCTTCTGGGTTCTCTGGGTGTGGGAGAGGGGGGACGTGCGGGCTTCTCAAGTTTACGCCTAGGCCCTAAGTCCCTGCTGCCTGACATTCCCTCCTTAGGACTCAGGCCTCCACCGAGTTTTATCTCCTATCACTTCTTGGGCGGAGAGCTCCGATAACCATGTGATTCTTCCCCTGAGGCTGGGGAGGTGGTGCCAGTACAGAGGGTACCAGAGGGCTAGTCTCCGCCCCTGGCCTTCAGGAGCTCAGCAGTAGTCACACACAGTGCACTAAGGCAAGATAGGTGAACAAGCCCTGTTGCCTAATTCAGGAGGAGCCGTAAACTTGGCCTGGGAGCTAGGAGGGTGGATCTATACAGGGACTGTTCACGCAAAGACACACAGTGGGAAAATCCAAAAGAAAGAGAATCCTTTCATGTGGCTTGTGGGAGAGTTTAAGGGAGAAGGCTGGCGGTCCCGTCGGAGAGGTAGGACTGGGAGGGAGACCTGGAGGGCTGGCTGAGGGATTTGACCATTTGGTGGGTAATAGGGAGACACTGAAGATTCTGTAGCAGGACAGTGACATGTGAGTTGGCTTTTGCCCAGGGGCTCAAGTGGAGGCGAAGCCAGTGAGGAGGGTACTGGCAGGGGCTGGGCAAAAAGACAAGGCCTAGGTCAGGGTCAGGGTCTTGGGCTCCCCTTATTCTGGAGAGCTTCCTAGGAGGCCGTGGATCTGGGGGCTGGGACTGACCAGGTGGGGCACGTAAGCCCCAGTGAGGAGCAGGAAGAGGCCAAGTGAGGGGAGCCCCTGGGGCAACTCAAGACAGCAAGGCTCAGCCCTTTATTGCAGATTGGGTAACGATGTCAGAAGAGGCCAGGGTCCCACCTGAGTCTGTGGCATGTGCAGGCCCCAACCCGAGGCTTTGAGTCTTGTCTGCTCAGACAGGCACCCCCTTCCCTGCCTGTTCTGGGATCAGGCTGCCAGGATTCCAATCCTGCTTCTGCTCCCCAGGTTCTGTCATGTGGGGATAGATTGCTTCATTTCCCTATTGGCAAAGTGGGGATAATAATCACACCTGCCTTATTGGGCTACTGGGGGGATTAAGTGAATTAATGGTACAAGAGCTAAGATTAGGGGCTGGGCACATAGAGAGTGCCCAGGAACCTTCCTGCCACCCTTTCCCACCCCCAACCTTTCTTCCTCTCAACTGTATCTTTCTTCCTGCCTCCACCCTCCCCCAACGCACAACCCTTCCCCGCATTTTCTTTCTCCCTTGTAAAACAAACAGGTATCCACCTGGTCAGGTGTGATTCATGAAAACAAAAAAGATCAAACTCACAGCCCCTGGGAGATTTGCCAGCCAAGGGGAGCCTCTCACACCCACACCGCTGTCCACTGAGCTCTCCTCCCTCTGGGTCTCACTGCTCCTTCTCACCAGAGAGACTGAAGTGTTGGCAGCTATCACAGCTCTACCGTACAGGAGGAAACGCCAAAATGCAGACAGGTGAGGTCGCTTGCCCAAGGTCACACAGCTCGAAACTATGAGAGCTAGGGCTGTCCTACCCTAGAGCCTGTGCGCTGTGTTGGGGGAGGGCTAGCCCTTTTGGAGGCATTCTCCCCAAGGGTATGTCACTCATGCATTCGTTCATTTATTCATTTATCGTCATCTCTGTATTTCCTCATGGATCTCACATTTCTTTTTTCTTTATTTTTTTTTTAAATTTTCAATTACAGTTGACATTCCATATTGTATTAGTTCCAGGTATACACCATAGTGGTTAGACATTTATATAACCTATGAGGCGATCCCTCCAATAAATCTAGTACCCCCACCTGACACCATACATAGTTATTACAATATTATTGACTATATTCCCTATGCTGTACTTTACATCCTGTTACTACTGGGTTGTTGGAAAAGTCAAGATGTATTTTTCGATGTTTTTAGTTGCAAAAATGTGTCATGACAACCCAATATTTTGCCGCTGCCAATTTGTACTTGTTAATCCCTTCGCCTTTTTCACCCTGCCCCTCCCATCTGGCAACCATCAGCTTGTTCTCTGTATGGAGATGTCACATTTCTTAAAGATGTAGATTGTCCTTTTTACGTCGGCATCCCCCAGTCCCTAAGAGCTCCCAGATGGAAGGTGAAGAAATACATACATAGGAGAATGTTTGTGAACATAATATGTCTACACTCCATGCCTTCACACGCTCATCCAGCTGATTCCTTGAGCCACTGCGTTCAATGTTCCATCCCCTGCACTCCGTGGAATCCCATCTCGCCGGGGGCACTGATGGTTGATCTCCAGGTAGACACATTCAATTGTCACTTGTCAATCCTTTCATTGAGCATCCTTTGACTCCACTGACCCTGACTCCTGCGTAATTCCCATGCTCTTCTCTGGCTCCCATGACACATCCTCTTCCGGTTTCCTTCAGCCTTCTATCTTTCCTCTTCAGGCCCTTTTATGAGTCCCACTCCTTCAAGGTTGGGGTTCTCGTCTCTCTCAACATACTGTGTGTGTGTGTGTGTGTGTGTGTGTGTGTGTGTGTGTGTGTGTGTGTGTGTGTGTGTGTGTGTTCGTGAATTCCCTAGGATCTAAAATGCTAGTCATGGAGGGCTTTCATGAAGGGCACCTAACCTCTAACCACCTACAGGAGGCATGAAGAAGGGCACCAATCTCAGATGAAATGAAATTAGTGGTAAAAATCACCAAACCCACAAGAGACCTCGCCTTCCTTCTTTTACCTTTGATCACGAAACAGTGTTTTGACACAGAAGCAGAATACCAGCATTTAGTGGCCACCCTCTCTGTGCCAGGCACTGTCTAAAGTATAACTTCATTTACTCCTCACCAGCCCAGAGAGGATTGGAGTGGGAGGTATTAGCTAACTTCAGCTGTGTAGCAAGCATCCCCAAATTAAGTGGCTTAAAACAATAATGATTTACTTGGCTCACAATCCTGTGGCTTGGCGACTTGGGCTTGGCTCAGGTGGGTGGTTCATCGGCTGACTTGGCTGGGCTCCCTCATGAGTCTGTGGTCAGCTGGTGGGCCTCTCTCCATGTGGTCTGTCATCTCCCAGGGGGCTACTCCAGGCTTTTTCACGTGGCAGGGGAAAGGTTTCAAGAAAGCAAAAGCAGAAGCTGCAAAGCCTCTTGAGGCCCAGGCTTGAAACTGGCACAGCATCACTCCACTACATTCAATTAGCCCAAGCAAGTCACAGGGCCTGCCCTGACTCAAGGGCAATAGGAATAGATCCCACCTCTTTATGGGGAGGGATATAAAGTATCATGGCCATTTCTTAATCTGCCTCATGTACACTCTTCATTTTACACAGGAGGTTGGTAGGGACAAAGCAGCCAGGGGGACTCCGGGTCTGGTGCCCCTCCCACAGACCCAGACCTGTATGCCTTTGAGTTTGGAAAGGCAGACCTCACCGAAGAGGCTGCACCAAGGGGTCCCAGGCAGGTCAGTGACAAGCAGCGGTTTGATTCAAGAGGAGAATTAAGGACACTGAACCTGTCCCTCAGACCTGAAGGATGGCCAAAGCAGTAGGCCTCTGTTCCAAGGTGCAGGCCGCTGAGGGAGATGACCCAGCTGCCTGCTCCTAGCTTTGCCAGCCTGTCCCACTGGGACTCTGAGCACCCAGCATGTGCCAAGCCCAGAGATCTGATGGCTGGCCACAGTCCTTGCCCAAACTAGCAGGGCACACAGACTCAAGCCCTCAATAATGTTCTCCCTGTTGTTGTCCTTAGGGCCAAGGCTGAAAAATACGGATCTTCTGCCCCATCCTTCCTGCTTCCTAGGTATTGACCTTGGGCAAGTTACTACCCTCCGCGCCTCAGTTTCCTCCGCTGTAAAATTGGATTGGAGATTGTGCTTTCCTCAGAGGGAGGCGAAGAGGATCAGGAAGGCCAAGCACGGAATGGACTTCCCTCTGGACCACATAGATGTGACACTATCTAGAAACAGCAGCCATCATCAACCACAGCCTAGGGTCCTCAGTCCTCTCTCCAAACCCTTGAGTCCAAATGTGATTGCAATTAGAAAGTCGACACGGTGCACATATAGTATGTTACATATCACCCCATAGGATCTGGACAGCCCCTCTTAATCAATTAAATTGGTATTTCTACAGTAAAGCCTATGACTACTCATGGTATATGGGCTAAATCAAGCTTCTAAATAGCTTACAGGATCTCTAGTTTAACAAATTAGTTTTTAAATTTTCATTTATCAAGAAATTGTTGGCTATAGATATTTCAAATTATTTGGATCATGATAATTATTAGTCAGTAATTCTCCACCTTGGCTCCATATTTCAATGTGCTGGGGAAGTAGTTAAATTTCAGATTCGTGGGCCTCACACCAGACCAAAGGAATTAGAAGCTCAGGAAGTGACCCCGGGGAATGGGTCTTTTTAAAAAGCGCCCAAGATGAGTCTGCTACAGAGCCAGAGGTGAGCCATATTCTAGGCAGCGGTTCTCAACCTGTGGGTCGCGACCCCTTTGGGGGTTGAACGACCCTTTCGTTCAACAGGGGTCACCTAAGACCATCGGAAAACAAAAAGATATTTACATTACGATTCATAACAGTAGCAAAATTACAGTTATAGAGTAGCAACGAAAATAATTTTATGGTTGGGGGTCACCACAATATGAGGCACTGTATTAAGGGGTCGCGGCATTAGCAAGGTTGAGAACCGCTGGTCTAGAGATTATAAAATGGGCTGGGAGGTTTCACTGGGAGAGTCAGGAAAGACCTTCCCTGAGAATGGGGCCAAGCTGAGCCGGGGCCAGGGGAAGCAGGGGTGGAAGAATGTACCCCTCAGAGGGAACAGCATGTACAAGCTCCCCGAGGCAGGGAGACAGTTAGAGAGTTAAGGGAACTGAGAGGTCCCCAGGGTGGCTGGAGCCTCTGAGCCAAGGTCAGCAAGGCTCAGCTGCCTCCTCCAGCTTCCTCTTTGGTAGGGTTCAGGGGGGAGCTCCGAGACCAGGGACCTTCCTCAGGGTTAAATCTGTACACATAGACACTTTCTCCCCAGAGGAAACTGAGCAGCAGCAGGTCCTTTCTTTCTAGCCAGGGGAGGGGAATAAATTAAAATCAGAGTGTGTTGGGCTGGGAGGCGTCACACCGATCTGGTAACCCAATGGTTTTAAAGTGTTTTTATTTTGTAAGTTATTTTGGTGTTGTTTTGTCAAACAAAATATTTTCCCACTGTCTCTGTAATGGTTGGAGCAAAGTGGTGGTGATGTTGGGGGGCCTGGAGTCTTGGCCCCTCTGCCCTCCCCCTAAGTCTCCCCAGGTCTCTTTGAAACTCTGTGGAACCCAGTTTAAAAACCCCAGGAAGCTAAGGCTCAAAGAAGGATGATGGGACTGTCTGAGGAGCCCCAGTCATGAGGGCAGGGCTGGGGCAGGACCCCAGCCCCCTAACTCCTTTTCCCATGCTCTTTTGGCCCAGCTAGAGCTCCCCAAACCTTTGTTAGGTCCCCTTGTATATATTTTTCCCCCACAACTCACCTATTATGAGTTGAACTGTATCCCCCCCAAAAGATATGTTGAAATCTTAATCCCTGGCACCTATGAATGTGACTGTATTTGGAAATAGGGGCTGTGCAGTTGTAATCAAGTTAAGATGAGGTCAATAGGATGGCCCTAATCCAATATGACAGGTGTCCTTATAATAAGGGAGATCTAGACACAGAGGAGAATGGGCATGTGTTTGTTACGGCTGCCCTAGGAAACTCATACACCTCCTATATCATTATTCATTTATTATCATTTTTACCCCTTCAAATGGACTCACTTTTAAACAACTTGCACACTTTTTGCTACAAAGTAAATCTCCCATCACTGCTATAAATGGAAGACCACAATACTTTCCATACCTAGGAGGCACCTTAAAAATAAAGACAATGAAAACCCGCCAATCTAGCCAGATGCAATTGCCAGGCGATCTGGGGATGCCTTTGTTGAAAAAGGAGGTGATCAAGTGACAAAGGGTGTTGAAGACACACTTAGCACCTAGATGAGACTTCTTGATTTATCAGAGGGATAAAAATAATTGAAAAGAGAAAACCCTTTTATTACCTGAAAATACCTCATTCTGAGAAGTCTCCAATGATGAGGGTTTCAGGGGTGACCACACACCCACACTCCCCTTATGTTTCAAGAAATTGAGGGCCAGAAATGTTCAGTGATTTGCCCAAGGTGGCCAGGTCTGGATTTGAGCCGAACTCTATGTGCTTTCCAGGAAATCACACATCAGAGACTTCTTGGTCAGTCCAGGGGCCTTGGGTCATGCCTGGGTGGCCATGGGCTGAGCACATGTATGCAGAGCAGGGGTAGTAATCTCTGAAGGCCAAGTACACAGACAGCTTTCATGTCCTAATTACAGCCACATGAAGGCCGGGCAGGATTATTACTACATTGTAAGGCAACTGGACCTGGGCAAAACTTGACTCACACTGAGGGTTATAATCCAAGTGATGGCCATAAGATGTTTTTCTTCTTGTTCCATTGGACTGTCCAGATTAAAAGCCAGGGTCCATGCAGGCAAGCTGCCCCACATCCTATCACATATGGTCACATGCTAAATGACAGAGGTCAAGGGCCGCATCCCCAAAACAGGCATCTTCTTCATCCTCATTCTGACCCTGTGGCCGTCTTCTTCCTTTTCCCACTGCTTCTCTCTCTTCTCTTCACATCCATTGTCTGCGCTGGCCCACAGGAAGGAGCAGGGTCACAGCTCAACATCTCATCTGCTTGGACTCCAATCCTAGTTCCACTGTGTGACCTTGGTAGACTGCTCATCATCTCTGAGCCTCAGTTTCCTCATCCATGAAATGTGTCCCTTCTTCCCAGGTTATTGAGAGGGGTCAACAAAATCGTGCTAATGAGTATGGTTTGCCTGACACATGGTAGGAGCTCAGTAAATATCGCTTCCCTCCTCCCACCAGACTCCAAGCCCCTGTCTTTCCTGCTGCGCGTCAAGCTTGCCACAGGGATTCTTAACACACCAGCAACCATGTGAACTGTGCCTTTCTACATGCCGGGCCCTGTGCTAAACCCTTTCCTGCATTAACTCATTTAACCTTCCCATCAACTGTGTACAGGCGATAACTGTCACTATCCCAGACAGAGGGGCCTGTGCCTTAGAGGGCCCCCTGTGACCTCCTTCCCACAGGACCAGGGTTCTTCCGGGCCAAAGAGAAGTGCCCACCCAGAGCCAGCACACACCCCAGAGCCCAGAGCACCTGACTGTTGACCTCTTCTCCCATCCACCCACCTGAGGGTGGAAAAGTCCACTGGTGTGCATCCGAGACCCAAGTGGAGACATGCAGGGCTATTTGAAGGGTTATGGGGTGTGGCTGAACTGAAATGGAAGGCTGGGTTGTTGTATATGTGTGTTTGCAAAGCTGCTTAAGGGCGCGGGCAGAGCCAGGCGTGGCAGAAGAACAAGGGGCAGCTACTAGCCAGGGCCACAGAGGGAGGGCCCGTTCTCCCCTGTCACCACTGCCATATTGAATGCCAAGGAGATAGAGAATTTGTCATTCAAAGCTGATCTTAAGCTCACCATGAAAATAACACCTGCCACAGTGGAAGAGCAGGCTAGGTTTTACTTAGTTGCATAGTAGCTTGATGTATAACTTTCCAATATTGAGACAGATGCATGTGGGCCTCCGTTTGTTGTTTTGGGGCAGGCACCATCAGTGTGAGGAATGACTGGCCTGGGGTCATCCCTGTTCTCTTGACCTCTGACCCACAGAGAAAAATGCAGTCATCAAATAAAGGAATGTGCTAGGCCCAAGCCTTTCAAAACACAAGTGGAGAATATCAGGCTTAAAACCTGCAAATAGCATCTAGGCACAAGTGCTGAAAATACCCCTGGAGACCAGCTGCGGGCTCCATGTGGCAAGCCACCTCCACACTTGGTGCCTCAGTTTCCCCATTTGCACAGTGACAGGATTGACTTCTTTCCTCCCCCAGTGCCTATCTAGAATCACCCTTGTTAACTTGGACCAGTCTCTTCCCTTTCCATCCTCTGTCCGAGACCCACATAGATAACCTCCTCCTCTATGCCCTTTTCCCCCTGACCTTCATAATAACCCTGGAAGGATCTCTAGTGACAACCTCATTTTATAGATGGACAAACTGAAGGCCAGTTTGGGATTGGTCTCTACCTAAGGTCACAGCTGGTAAGGCTCAGAGCCTGGAATTGAGCGCATGTCTCTCTGACCCCCAGAGGCCACATATTTGCCCTATGGCTGGAAACCACAGATGAGAGGGGTCTTCTTGGCACTACTATGTGTCCTGGGATAAATCACTCAACCTTTCTGAGCCTCCATTTCCCTGGGGAAGTAGCCTCAGAGGGCACCTGGGGTCACCTAGGGCTCAGGGATTCTGGGATTCCAGGAGTGGAGCCGGGGTGGCCTGCGTGAGAGCCAGGGCCCAGCCCGCCTGGCTCAGATGACCAGTCCCGAGGGCCCAATCAGGCCAGCCTTGGATCAGGCCATAAGTGGGAACAAAACAGTCAGGGAGCTTGCCTCCCCGGCTTTGTTTATTGTCTGGGAGCTGGGAATATTTTGAATTGTTGTGTTTGGGGAGGGAGGGAAAAATAACCAAATATAAGAAGGCAGCCAGTGAGAGGCCCAGGCAGGAATGCAGAGGAATTAGGCCTGCCTGGGTATGTCTGAGAGCTGGTGATGCTCCCAGAGGCCCCAGCACCCTCTAGGTCAAGGATGCTGAGCTCTGAGGAGAAATCCAAATTGCCTGGAGAACTTCCTTTTTAAAAAGGCCTCATGCCCAATTAAATTAGGATTTCTGAAGGTGGGACCCAGACCGCAAAATTTTTGAAGCTTCTTGGGTGATTGCAATGGGCAGCTGAGGTGAAGAACTAATGCCCCCTTAACAGCTCACATCAGAAGTCTTATTAGAGGGCTTGTGAAACATGATCACTGGGTCCCAACCCAGAATTCCCGATTCTGGAGGTCTAGGCAGGACCTGGGACTGGGTATTTCTCACAAGGTGCTGCTGCTGCTGGCCCGGGGGCCACACTTGGAGAGCCCCTAAGAATTACAGAGCCATTATGAATCCCTCAGG